GACATGCATAATATTTGCTGCAGTGAGTCAGGTGTTATTCGAAGTTTAACTGTAGATTGTCTTATCTTATATGCGAATTTAATATCTGTGATGTGAGTTTCAATTGTTACTTGAATAAAATAAGGAAATTATTCCTCACAATAATGTTGGGGTTATTTTTAATTTGTGCACACCTCTCAGAGGGATGATGCCTAAACGATACTATTTTCGTGTTCAAACAAATGTTCACTGTTAGATTCAAATGGATTCCTCATCTTCGTTTAATTTTGCCATTAGCGTCAACTAAATATTTTTAGGAAGATTAATTTAGTCGACCTGAAATTTGTATGACAGACTAGAGTCTTTGACAATAACTTCTAAAACATGATTTAATGGAGTCAGTTGAGTTTAGTGAGTGACGTGCAACTGATCGTCCAGTTAAAATACCCAATGATTTCAAACTGATTTAGGATCAGTATCATTTTTAATGGATTCATACACAGGTGTTATGCGGACCCTTAATTCGCTGTACTTCCTTATAATCTACGCGCTCTCTTCGAATCTCTTCAGAGTGAAACAGTGAATAAATTCACATCTTGAATATAGGCCGTTTAAAAATTGATGTTGATTAACACATCGTTTGTGTGAAATGTGTTCAGTATAATAATTTGGGTAAATTGTTGAACGTCGGTGCGTCGGTGGCACAGTGGTTAGGACTCTCGCCGACCATGCATATGGTCCGAATTTAGATCACCTGCCGACACACACTTGATATCTATGGTCGGCCTGCAAGATTTTGGCTACCGAGATCCATGCTGAAAATCACTTACTTGTACAAAAAATGCAGTGTGGAATCAAGCTGTAGTCAAAAATAGAAAAAAATGAATTGTAACCTCGCCTAGATTACTAGCTCGCTAGTTCTCAAACTCGGATATAGAGGGAGGGTTGGGGCGTCGTGCTAACAACTGCACCCCCATAAAACAACCAAATCTCTACAGAAACGTCAACGAATAAATATATTAAAAACTCTAAAAACATAAACAATAGCCTTACTTTTGCTGGAATCAGGGAAGTGAAATGACGCAGGCTGGAGTAAGACTTCAGGAAGCCAGTCAGCCGATGAGCCTCCTTTCGATGAAAGCAAAAGTAAGGAAGGGTACCTGGAATGTTCGTACAATGTACGAAACTTGAAAGGCTACCCGGACAGCCGCTGAAATGAGAAGGTACAGAATAGAAGTGTTTTGAATCTGCGAAAGCAGATGGAACGGAACTGGAAGGTGCCAACTACATACTGGAGAGACAGTAATCTTTCCGGCCACCCAGAGGACAACCATGAGCACACCGAGGGAGTGGCCATCATGATGTCACCAACAGCAGCCGATGCTCCCATGCAGTGGGAACCAATCTCCTCCAGGATAACGACAGCCAGGTTCAACTCAAAAGGAAGGAAAGTTCCAGTCATTCAATGCTATGCGCCTACAAACGTCTCAGAACAAGAGAAGAAGGAGGCATTCTACAGACAACTACAAACAGTAATGGACAAAGTCCCAAATGGCGATATCAAAATCCTGATGGGCGACATGAATGCGAAGCTGGGAGGAGACAACACAGGAAGAGAAATAAACATAGGTCGTGAAATAAACGACAATGGTGAACTCTTCTCAGACTTCTGCACCTTCAATGATTTGTTGGTTGGCGGCAATGTGTTCAAACACAAGGATATACACAAGACGACATGGATTTCACCAGACGGAAACACAAGAAGCAGAGAGACTTCATTTCAATTTCAAGAGAGTGGAGATGGAGCCTACTGGACACAATGTGGATGAGAGGAGCAGATTTGGTTTCAGACCACTATCTACTACAAGGGACTTTCAAGGTGAAGTAAAAAGCCTCGACGATAGCTGGGGATAGGCCACGATGCAAATTCAACACTCAATTACTGAAGGACACAACCACAAAAGACACTCACACTGCAACTGTCAGAGCAAAGCAGGAAACACTACGCAAAATCACTGAAGTATCATGCGTCGAAGACCACCTGAATTATCTGGAGGCGATTATCAACGAAACGTGTTCGACGGTTCTAGGAAGAAAGAAGAGACAAGACAATGAATGGCTCTCAACGGACACTTGGAAACTAGTAGAAGAGAGGAGAATGGTGAAAGAGAAAATGATTCAATGCAAGGACGGACAGGAGAAGGAGACACTGAGCTCAACCTATACGGCACTGGACAAAGAAGTGAAGAAGAGTGCTAGGAAGGACAAAAGACGATTCTACGACAACCTGGCCACTGAAGCTGAGAAGGCAGCAGGCAAAAGCGACCTGAGGACATTATATCAGATAACCAATTCTCTATCCGGGAAGAGATCAACACAAGTGAAACCTATAAAAGACAGCCAAGGGAACCCAATTACCAAGGAAGAAAAACAGATTAAACAATGGGCGGATCACTTCAAAGGACTCTTGAACCGACCATCACCTGCAACCCGTCCAGAAATACCAACAACAGCACGCACACATCTGCAAGTTGACACCAATCCTCCAACGAGAGCTGAAGTCTTGAATGCAGGTAAGCTTCTGAAAGCTGGAAAAGCAGCTGGACCAGATGGAATACCCCCTGAAGCACTGAAAGCGGACCCAGAGACTACAGCAGACATGCTGACTCCATTATTGCAAAAGGTCTGGAAGGAGGGAAAGGTGCCTACTGACTGGAGGAAAGGTTACCTCGTGAAACTACCAAAGAAGGGTGACTTGAGACTCTGCAAGAACTGGCGAGGAATCATGCTCCTGTCGACGCCAAGTAAAATCCTGAGTCGCATCATCCTGGAGAGATTAAAGGACGCACTGGAGACAGAACTCCGAGCAGAACAAGCTGGATTCAGGAAAGGAAAATCATCTTCTGACCAAGTTGCAACTCTACGCATCATCAATGAACAAAGCATGGAATGGCGATCAAACCTCTACCTCAACTTTATCGACTTTGAGAAGGCCTTCGACAGCGTTGACCGTGAAGTAATTTGGAAATTACTCGAGTACTATGGCGTACCCCAAATATTCATCAACCTTATCCAACAGCTGTACGACAACGGCACATGTCAAGTGATCCACAACGGAAAACTCAGCAAGGCGTTTGGAGTAAACACAGGAGTCAGACAAGGGTGCTTTATTATCACCAATGATATTCCTAATTGTGGTGGACTGACTGGATTATGCGTCAGACAGTGGGAAACGAGAAGACAGGGATATCTTGGACCGACGTGAAGAACCTAGAAGACCTGGATTTCGCGTGTGGATGATTTATGTTTAATGTCACACAAAATCGTAGACTTACAAGCGAAAACCGACAAACTGGCAGAAGAGGCGAGCAGCAAAGACAGGACTCCAAGTGAACATAGACAAGACGGAGGTGATGAAAATAACCAACCAACAACAACAGCAATGCCCAACGTCAATCACCATCAAAGGGAGGGATCTGAAAGAGGTTACTTCATTCACTTATCTAGGGAGCATTGTCTCAACTACAGAGAGTCGGAATGGACGAGGATGTCAAATCGAGCGAGAATCGGGAAGGCACATTTATCAACCTTAAATCAATCTGGAAATCTTTGTCACTCAGCTAACATCAACAACAAAATTCAGAATTTCAATACAAACGTCAAGTCACTTCTTCTATACGGATCAGAAACTTGAAGGGTCACAAAGAATATTTCCAACAGCCTGTTGCAGACCAGACCTTTATCAACAACTGTCTTCGCTCTCTACTGCAGATCAGATGGCCGGGCCAGGAAGACTCACCAACAAGAAACTATGGGAACAAACAAAACAAGAACCAATCGCCCAACAAATATGCAGGAGAAGGTGGAGATGGATTGGAAACTGGCTGAGGAGACCGCTAGGTGACATCGCGCATCAAGCGTTTGGGTGGAACCCGAAAAGGAAGCTGCTAGTGGGACGTCCAAGAGTGACATGGAGGAGATCGTGTGAAGATGAGTTGAAAAAGCAGGTGAAAATTATAGCAGAAGACAGAAGCAAGTGTAGACGTGCAGGTGAAGTTCTATGTTCCACTAGGAACCCAAGGGAGCAATGATAATGTATAATAATAGGTGGGGTTTTTGAAGGCTTTATGGAATCACATATGCACACGAATACACCTAGAATCTTTTGGTTGAAATGCATACGAAGAGTCACAAATGAGAAAAGTACTTCCATTCTTTGTTTCACTTCTACAGAACATCAATTAATCCACATCACGTTTGTCACAATCTGTCGTCGTAGCGTTCACATAACTTACAAACGTTTCAGCAAAGACTGAACATTTACTTTCGAAATACTTGTGAGACGAATGACGCTTCGTCGTTTAAAGTGATGAGTGCTGCACATTAGTCTCATTTAAGGAACAACAATTTGCTGATGATGCATATTCATCTTACTAAAGATGTCTAAGTAGGAATCCACTGCTACCTATCACTAACCAATGATCATATATCTTCATCAACCTGTTGTACTATGAGTGGATTCCCACACAAATGCATATAGTCATTCAAGACTGAAGAAAAAGTGCGTTGTATATGCAGGAAGGCTTCCAAAGTTCATGTCAACGCTCATGTGATGCGTATATCAGATAAATCATGTCACTGAATAGATTGACGAAAAAGGGTGATTGAAATATGTGAAAACCAATGCACATACATAATAAACCAACACCAGCAACGCAGAAAACGCATTCATTTTCGGTCTTTATGACTATCATTAGGTAGGCGCATCTAAGCATCATCAGACAGAGAACTGTTAATCAAAAGGAAGAGTGCTACAGACATTTCGTGTGTATACCCTCTGCATATGTTTCACTTTTAAGCGAATAGAAGATTCACATGTCTAAGTTATTGAATTGTATGCGTTCCATGTGACATAAGAATGTGAATCCATAATGCCAGCCAATAAGCGACCAGGTAATACAAAATATATAGTTGCCTCTTAATAAATTTATGCCAAAATCACACATTTCGTGAGCAGAAACATGTTCAGCAAAATTTGGTTGACCATCATATCATCGATTGTCTTGTGTAAGTAGTTCCATATATTAATAATGAGTTAATTGGTTCTATTCGAAATACAAAATCTCTGTCGTTATTTCCACGTAGTCAGTAAACCGAATTTTACACATTCACTTCCTGAAATTTTCTTCATTACATTAGCTAATGATCATATAACAAATATCAATTTATTCCAGATATCATGTATCTACCACAATATGAATCATCATTCCTTTGGCATCTTTTCTGTAAGTTGTGTTCACTCATTTTGAAACCTGTCGGTAGTTATCGTTTTCATTGTTTCAAGCATGTGAGTATCCTTACTGATGGCTTCATAATGAGCTGTGGAGTTCTATGTATATTTTACTGTATAACATGAACGAAAATATGCACTTAACGCAAGGTTACAGTGGTTATAAAAAGAGTTATTTCTCCCGATTCTTATTTTTTGATTTGGTTTCTCACTTACATATCGTGACTTGACATGAGACGTCTTCATATCAGGCATAAACGAGACTATTATTCTTAATGAATTCTCAAGTAGGTGAGTTTATAATAAACATATATATTTCACTTAGTTTTGTGAAATAATTTCCACCTTATAGTCTTCCTGGCTTTACGTTTAGTGTTATGCGACTAAAGTTTAGTTCATTGAAAAATGATACCGGTCAGTTTTGAAAAGAATACATTTTGTATTTGGGTCATTTTCGAATAATTGATTGTATTTAGTGATTGTGTTATGTGCTGCAAGTTAATTTCTGTTACTTTGAGAGTGAACGATGCAGGCTGATAATAGTTCAATCGCTTCTTACGACATACTTCTCATTCACAACTAAGTGACCTCAGTAGTCACAGATAGAAACAAGGAGTTTGGAAGAAGGGCGGTTTATCTCAAAAGTTGATGACATTAAACGGCAGTGTAAGTGAAAACCAGGTGGCGTGGAAGTGTATGGTTTTTATGCTGAATACTGAGTGTTAATTGATACAATGGATGTACAGGTTTGGAATCATTCACAACTGAATTGAAATTTTATCCGTCCTTCTATGTTATTCATTTATTCATTACACAGGTACATTGTTCCCAGCATGGTGCACTAGTATGTTTCTGCATGCTATCATCTAACTATTATTATTCATGTAATTATGTTATTGTTATTTATAGCAATAATTGTGGTGATTGTGTGCTCTTTTGTTTAACTGATTTAATTTATAAGCTTTCGTTGTCCCTTCAGATGACAGGTTGATTATTAATTTCACTACAGAAGGTATGCAGACGTGTATTGCAGACGACAGATTACGAGAACTTTATTTTAGGTATCTGCTAACATGCATACTTCAATAAACACTAACTGTGATTCTACATACATTCTCACTTTTCAGTGGGTTAACAGAAATTACAGATAAGTGCATGTTGTAAAAGTCTGATCAACATACGAGTCTTGAAAGTCAGTCATTCAGGACATAATGCTGTGTGTTGGACGACGCTTAATCTAACTAAATTCCGTTATATTTGAAACCTCATCCAACTGATATCGAATGTGACACCCAAATTCTCATTCAATGGACTCATTCTGCTTTTCCCCTTCACCAAGTAATTGAACATATGAAGCACACATATTATAAATATTAGGTGAAGCCTCCATAAACATGGCAAGTGAGAAACAATGAACACGGGAAATCATGCTCTATTTCATTTCATTTATAGATGAAACGTGGTCAACTGTGGTAAGCATTCTTACATTTTATGGGAGCATAACTGTTTAGTAATATTCGATTATTCATCATATATGACGGTTCTTAATGTGACATGTCTGTGAAGATTTTCAGGTATGCGAATAATGATTAACACCTTTCGTTATCAGACAGTTATCTGAAAATGGACATTTGTTTTAGCACTTGTAAAAGTGAAACACAACGTGTTCCATTGTGAATGACAGTGTTTGGTAGGAAGCCTCAACAAAGTTTCTCACTGTTCCAGCCCACTTGATTTTAAATCTTCATTCACATTAATGTGGACTAAAATTCACTTGTGTCCTACACCAACACTTGCAACACTTTCGAATGTGTGGCAGTGTAGCATGTACAAAATGTCCTGTGTTATGATGTTCAGTGTTATTTCAGTGCTTCACATCACGGTGAAATATCGGAATTCGACGATGGCCTTATCAATAACATTGTGGAGTTGTATCTCTTAGGGTCTCATTAAATTCGATGTTCATGCAACGGAAAGTCAGTGAATTTGAAATGTTTATATCGTGGCAGACCTTTTAACAATTACCTGTAATTTTTCTAGGATATATATATATATATATATATAAATGCAGGAGGTCCCGTTGAGGATAACGTCCGATTGATAAACTATATTCCAACCACATCAATAAACGTTTTACTGTGATAAAATATGTGCACTATTCAATTGTTAATACGAAACTACTACAACAATCATAATTTTGGGCTATGCAGTCCTTTAGCTTATGAGGTACAAACATAACTATTCAGACTTAGCAATAATATTCTCAACCTGCACTAGCGAAGGCCGAGCAGAACAAACTACTTTTTCTACGGAGAGTTTGAGATCAAGGAGTCATTCGGAAGAGCAGTCATTGCCTTAACTTCAGCATAATCTCAGTCATTTAACGACACTGTCACACAACAGCAAAAGTAAGCATTCACAGGTGTATGATGAGGATCAAGTCAAATATAGGGAAGCAGATAGTATGATAAAGGTACAAATGTCAGTGGCAATCTGTAATATAGAATACTTGAAATATTTACATAAGTGTCAACACTCTAAATATATTTTCGATGAAAGGATTTCCAAATAAAGGATTCCGCTACATATATTAAACTTGTTAGGCCTGCTGGCCGTCACCAAATTCACAGGTCTTAAACCAACCTTCTTAGATTGAAAATTGTGAGGTATGAATTGCCCCAGTTCACTGGTTTAATTTTCAGAATTCCTGTTTATCTGTCAAAATTTTACATTGAATGAATCCTGTTATACTCACCGTTTGTATAACGACAGCAAACGATAGCGGCATTAGTAAGTTTTCATGATTATGATGATGTCTGAATGACACTCCTGCTTGTGTCATGTTTAACTGATGCATTTGTATGTTTATGCGATAATCATTCCAATCAAATATCATGCTCCTTAACACTATTCTAGTTAACATCACGCAATCTCAGCTGAATTGCCTGTAATGAGCTCGTTGAAAAGTGGATAAAACATAGAATTATGAAGACAGTGATGTTTCGATTGAGACTGGAGGCATACCGTGCTCTGAGATAGTTATATTCATGTTTCCCTCAGGTCTACAATTATTGATCATGAAGTCAACTATCAGTTTATGTGACTGTACAAAACTTTATGAATAAAAGCGTCAGTCACTTGCTGACTTGTAATCGTTAGCGACTGTGTAATATATTTTTGGCTATTGCTGATTCTTATTTTTGTACTCGTTCACTTATCCATCTCAGACAAATCCAGATTTTTTTAATGCATGAACTGAAAATGGATTGATCAATCACAATCGTAAACTTAAAATATAACTCCGTCAAGATATAAACTATTTAATTTTAAAGGTTAAATAGCTGTATCTGATATCCGTTTGCGAATACGATTATAATGGTTGCTTGAATCATTGATTTCGATAAATAAGCTTTTCGTTATTTAGAATCAGTCAGTTGTGTTTCATTGATCATTAATGTGATAGGGCGAAGGTTCGTCGGGATCTGTAAGTTCTTTTATTTTGTCATTTCGGCTGCTACTGCAACCATTCTCAACTATTTTCATAGAATTATCATCATGGTTTTCAAACTGCATACATTTGAAAATCATTCACCCAAACAGAGCGCAATGACCGTAGCGTTCCGAGAGAATCGCTGCTAAAAGAAGAGATGACATGACATATATAAACCTCGATGACATCTAAATTATAATTTAAACGTTATGTTATTATATTTGTGACATTTGGGCAGTGTGGTAATATGGAATTCCATATTAAATTGTTAACTAGACATAACCCACAGTCAGCGAAACAGTATTATTTATTGGATGGCACAGTTTCAAACACAATTTATCATTGGTCATAATCATAGCAATTATAATTACACAAGTATGAAACTTGAGTTTAATAGTTTACTTTTTTCTCTCGTATTTTGTCTTAGAGGTTAAAGAATTCTCCAGGTGTCCGAGTGGACACGTGTTGAATCATCCATGTTAAACTTATTCTCCTCAGTCGACTGGATAAATAAAGCTTCAGTTACCAAACTGCCTCCACCCTCTTAAATTCGATTTTAAAACCGGAATCTTTTACCATCCTATTGTATGGTTGTGTGTAACTGCATGTTGTTTTATCGCTGAACTATTCTACAGATTCCCTTATCTTATTAGAGCCAACTAGTTTAGATTTTGCTAGATGTTTGTGCTTAAGTTAAAAGGCTCACTTCCTGTCTCAGATTTTTCTTGGTACTATTTACTTTTTGTGCATTTATAATTAAAAATTTCACCAACTCATACAAGATGACATGATGCGATATGCAAATATCGTTTTGAGTGTGTAGGTTTCCTGTTGACAGAATTGTCTAACTTCCCTTCTTCCTCAATCTTTACGCTAAAAAACTAACATTATAAGCTCCACTTCCTTACTTTCCTATTCATAAGTGAATTGTATTGTCTCCTATTTCGAATTTATTTGTTCAAAAATACTGTGTCTATTCTATGCTCTATGTACAATGAAGATGTGATCTACGTATTTCCAACTTACCTTTGGAGTGGCCTGAACTTCCCAAATGCTACGTTTTTCAACCTATCCATGGATATTTCTGTCATAATCAGGGATATTTATGAGCCCATTGCGACTTTTTCAGTTTGTTTGTATATTTCCCTTTGAAATGTAAATACCGAGGAAGTCAGGCATAGGTTCAGCCTCAGCATTATATTCTTGCAAGACACTTTCGTTCTGTTTGTTTCCGAATGCTTCTTCAGCCATATTTATCGGTATACCTCTATGTAAACTGAAAATGTCGAAATTAACCATTTATGAATAAAGGAATTTGATTTTATGTAGGTGATAATTTCAAACTACGTTTATAACTTGAAGCATTGTTTCACAGGATCAGGTTTTGTGACTTTCCAATATTATTCTCATTTTTTTTTAATTGAATGCCCCTGTAAAATATTCTCCCAGTGCCAGGAGAATCACAGCAATCCCGATGAATAGCAGGTTTGACAAAAATAAATGAAATTACAGTTACAGCTATTCTCACTTGAGTTCGAAAGAGGTATGCTTTCTACATTAGTGCCATGAGATCAAGTTAAGTGATTGCAAAGTGACTCGTCTTATTCTGCCGTTGCACATAGGATATATTAGTTCCATTTGAGGGAGATGGATTGGTTTTTAAAACTGAGTGAATGGTGAAAGACATTTCACTAGCTTGTCGCCTGCACTGATTTCTTGTTTTCTAATATTTTCTTAACAACTCATTATCCCCTGCATCCATGTTTGTATTGTTGCATCCTGGAACTTCACAAAGTACGACTTCAAGATCAAGTGATTAAAGCACGGCGATCTTTGAAAGCTAATCTATGCTTATGGTAAGATACAGGGATGAACAAAAAATTCCTTCAAATTTCTGATGACATTCTTTTGACTCCCTCGAAGACCGCCAAATTTCTCAATTGAGTGCAGTTTGTGAAATCTCATTAGAACCTGGAATACAATGCACAACTGATGATAAATGTTGACAGGATTAACTGGATATGGTTAAGTTTCATAGAATTATTGAAAGCTTCATTTCAAAGTACGAAGTTTGAATTCCATGTTTGACACGGTTTCTTATCACAGTAGTTTATTTCATTGATTTTTTTACATGATAGCAAGGTGGTTTTCTGCAGTTAGTAAGTTCTTATTTTTCACCCATCTGCATACCCTGAGTACTTGTCCCGAATAGAAAATATTTGTATTTCTGTACAGTTATTGTACTTTTCTAAACGGTTTGTTGAAACATTTTTCGACAACAATGTCAGAAATAAAGTGAGATTTGTACTAAAATTCACAAGGAAAACAAAGTGAGTTTTAAGGTTATGAAGACGATGAATGCCATCTAGGATTAAAGTCGAACTGCCCACCGGAAATTTGTCTTTATGATTTCTGTATGTCTCCTGATTGAAGAACCACGAACTCAGGCTATTATTATTATACAATACTATTTCAGGAAAACGTAGTTTGATTTGCATTCGAAGTAATGATAAAAGCTCACGAATCTTCACTGAAGCAAGCACTAGTGTCCGATTAATTGTTCGTTGCTTTTGTCCTCTCTGTTTATCTTCGTATTATGGTTATAAAGGACGAATTTGAGGATTTACAGATGACGGTAGCGAAATTTACATGATTTCTCGACACTTTCAAAGGCTTGATGGTGACATTTTAGAAAAACAATTTATTTCTGTGTGCATTTAACCTCACTCTTTTAATTACACCAATATTTTTTTTTGTCTGCAGACACAGAAGTGAAATGGTAAGTTTATTTCCTCCACCATATTCCTCATAAATTGTTACTCCACAGCGGATGAACTGTGATTATTCAAACAGATACAGCGTCATTGCGCGCAAATGTCGATAGTTCCTGGGAGCGAACAATAAACAAAATGTTTGCCAATCCCACTGAAAATGTGTGACTGTATTAATACAACAGTTAACATCATTTTGATATACTGAGTGCGCATTAAGAGGTGAAGATATGTGGATTACTTCTGAATTGAGAGGTGGAAAGATGTATACATACACCATCGTATATATACACACCATCATATGACCTCTTCCTCGTCATTCCGGCTAATCTGAATTAAGTGTGACATCAAACTGAAAATATCCGTCTAGTGTTGATTGCCACTCAATTCACTTTCATAGATGCACATTTATCTCAACTACGAAATAAGTGACATTAAAGATCTGTAAGTAAAACGTACTGATGTCAACTGGGCGATGCACGTCCTAAGACCATGTATAATGAAGATATTTCAAAATATGGGAAACCCATAATAATAATGATCTCATTTGTTCTTTTGATTCCTCTGTTCATAAAATCCTGTACAAGATTAGTCAAAGATATAATTATATCTGTTATCATGAGACACAAATATGTCTCACTGAAAGTTTTGAAGAATCTTCAATATGATGCATAGTTTTTGTGTGATTAAGCATTTTACGAAATAAAAAGTAGTGAAATTATCTACAGGGATTCTGGAAAGGATTTGGAATGTGTCGAATTGTTTCATACTATTTTCGTTTCATTGTATATTGCTATAATGATGAAAGTGAGGCTTTGGTTACAAATAACAGTCCTTAATGAATTAAAAATGAGTGTTGAGCGCTGCTTCATTATTGGAATAAATGGCTAAATTTGACAAAATCTGAAGAAACAATTGCGTACAGATATCTATGCTTTGTGTTTAGTAGAGTTTTAAAGATGAAATCACTCTTATGTGTAAAAATTCAGTATATATTATCCTCTTGCTTGTAGGTCTCACTCAAGGCACAGTAAATGGTTTCATGTTTGAACCTTAACGTTTCTCAAATTATTGACCACCATAAAATAAATACAATAATTACGTTTTCCACCGGCTATTCTCTTCCTTATTTATGTTGCAATATCAATGTGTAGATTAAACGAGCTTTTTCCTCACCTCAATCAGTAGTAGTTGCATTTGTCACATCGATCATTTTCATTCTCATCCTGGAGAACGCGTGCTCAGATGAGCAGTCACAAATGTAGAAATGGTGTGTTCTTCATCTAAATATGCGAAAGGCTATTTATTAAATGACATGGAGATTTAAGTGAATTTCTAAGGTGTTATCAGTTTAGCCATTTTGTTTTTAAATTGCATATCAGACAAACATTTGATCCAAAAGATAAAATGATGTGTAAACACATGGCATTAGCTCTGAAGAAATAAACCTATCAAACGCGATCAAATGAGTTGGTATTTGCTGCGTGAACTACCTTACATGTGAGATAAATGTGAACGAAAAGCATTTAGAAGGCAACAGTGTTTCATGGCCACATGTCAAGACAAAAGGTTTTTGTTTTCTTCTCATCTTAGGGAATGATCGCTGAGTTATACTGCATAACTGACGAAACTTCCTCAAGGCATATGTAATCAAAGAACGTTGCAAAGACACGAAAAAGACGACCTACCTTCAATAATACTGAGTAGTAATAATAATACTAATATCAAAGAATAATGGCTTCGAAAATTCAAAACTACCTCAAAATTGCCATTAGGCAGCTATACAGTCAATTTTGTGGACACAACGAGTACAGAGAATCAAGTGGAATATTTCCTAAAAGTTTTGATTACATTTCAGTTCACGAAAATCCCTTGGAGAGACAAAGGTAAAAACGACATTGATTCACTCTTACAAAATCAAATTGAACAACTTGTTATGGTTGTACACACAACTATCAAGACAAGTACTACAATTACAGATTAGACAACGCAAAGACAAATGACATGGATGTAGTCAACATGTGATACGCAAATGTAAAAAATAATGATATACAGTCTAGCAGAATAGAGATAGTATAATTACAAAGTTAGTTGGAGAGTCAAATGAATATGTGTCGTGTCTTTTTTAAGTAATCAAGGAAAGATTAATGGGGAGCAGTAAAGAGGGATGGGTAGAATAAAAAAATTGAGAAATTGGGAAAGCAAAGACTACTTTATACCAGACTGCCTTAACTTCCTAACGTAAAACGTTAAGTGAAACATCTTTCTAGTAACTAGCAAGATGTGGGAAGACCAGGAAAGATCAGTGGAAAAACTCAGCCCAAGGTACTTGACATTAGATATATTTTCAGCCTCTGTGCCGTCAATGAGAGTGGGGCCATGTGAGCTAACTAGTTGCTGTAGGTCACATTTACGTCTGAAAGTGAAATTGACTACCTGACATTTAGACGGATTAAGCTTAAGTCCGTTTGAAGAAGACCACTGACTAATTTCCGGTAGAAAAGTATTTAATTTGGAACAATCTCACTGAGAGTTGACAGGCATACAAACAGAGAGGTCATCAGAAAGTGGCTACATCAGAATGAGGCAAGCCATGTAAGAAAAACGAGAACAGAAAGGGAGAAAGAACAGCACCTTGAGGAACACCAGCTAAAATAAGTGAGGTAGTGGAGGATTTTCCATTGTAGACGGTGTACTGCTTCCTTTCAGAAAAATAGGAATGCAACCACTTATTTGTCCAGCTTTCAGCCTGTGTTGCAGCAAGCTTACTTAGCAAGAGAGACCTGGGAACAGAGTCAAATGCAAATGTGTAATCAAGGAAGGCACAGCGAACGTATTTAGCTCCTTTATCTAAGCTAGAGACTATGCTATGGTGGAGGACGACAGCGGCATCTAACGTACCCCTACTATGTTTATAAGCAAACTGCTTGGAGTCGTTGAAAGGTTTTAAAGAGGGATCAAGATTAAGTAAAATAAGTCTTTCCATAACTTTCAAGAAGGGTGAGGTAATTGCAATGGGTCTAAACTTAACATTAGGTCCACTTGTTGATTTAGGCACTGGAACGATCTTGATGTCTTGACTACCTGACATTTAGACGGATTCAGCATAAAACCGTTTGAAGAGCACCACTGACTAATTTCCGACAGAAAGCTATTTAATTAGGAACAGTCTGATTGAGAGTTAACAGGCATAGAAACAGAGAGGTCATTAGTACACTTGACAAAATTGGCTATTGTTGCTTATTGTCATGATGCAGCATGTCAAAGATGAAATATTCTACGGATTCTTTTCAACATCGATCTGACTCATTCAGATGAATTTCGAATGCTTCTTTTTTAAATTAAATGATGTAAAAATTCTGATAATGTCTACCTGATATTCAGAATCAGTCAGTTGAGCACGTTATTCACTTTCGTGAAGTGAGTAATGCTCGACTGAAGCAAGATCAGCAGACACTACCTATCATGAAACTCTGCCTGACAGCTATTGTTATCAGTGATGGTGTGGTTAAATTTAGGTCTAAACTAATTGATTTTTTCCTTACTCGATCAGCGATTTCGTAACTAAAAGGTTTACATTTTAAGTACTAGAGACACTGGTCTAATTTCGTTACCTTATTTTTGATTCTAAAGCAAGAATGGAAGCACTTCGAGTTCAGTAATGGTGTTTATCCATGAGTCACATCAACATCGATACTGCATAATTTTGTCGACGTATCGCCTTACACTTTCGCCTAATATGTCAAAATGGATTCCCCACCTTCTTTCTATTCTGCCAGTAGTTTCAAAGAAATATTGAAACAAAGATTTTTTTTATTGACGTGACACTTTTATTATATTATTCAGTCTCTCAGAACATTTCGTGATAATTGAACTAAATGGTGGATTTCGGTTAAATTAGTGGCACACGTGGAGTGATTCCTAACAGATTTTAGCATCAATTTGTATTAATGAATTCCTGCATAAAAATATTGAGGACTCTTTTTTCGTTGAAGACTTTTATATTCTTCAAACGCTGTTTGGAAACCTTCAGTGTGAAACAGTGAATGTATTCACATTCTAAATATACTAAGTTGACGAGTTGTTATTTTTATTTTTTGATAATAGCTTTATTCAACACCGTATTTTTGGCACAGGTATGGAATATTCAGCATGTGATATCGGTAGCCCAATTTTCGCAAGCCAACCAAAGGTATCAGGTGTGCATCGGCAGAGGATCGAACTCCGGAGCATGTGCATGATCGGTGAGAGTCCTAACCGCTGTGCCGCCAACGCACATATATTCCTTTGTGTGAAATGCATTCACTAGGCAACATGAAGCAACACTAGGCAACTCTTTAAACTCATCAGGGAAACGGGTGGGAGAAGGCAAATCATAAGTGGGACTATTTCTGAGAAAAATGGCTACTTAATTAGTTCTCAGGATAGACGCCTTGAACGCTGGAAAGAACACTTTGAGGGACAGTTTGACTTGCCAACAGCCACATCCAGCACACACCCGAATGGGATAAAGACACTGGTCCGCCGTCTGTGAGTGAGGTTACAAAAGCTATCTGTAATTTGAAATGAGGCAAAGCTGCAGGAAGCGACGGAATTATTCCGGAGGTGTTTAAATATGGGAGTGACATACTAGTTTGTAGATTAACTGAGGTACTAGGCAAAGTCTAAGAATCAGAGACAGTTCCATCGGACTGGGATAAGTCACTTATTCTGCCGATATTCAAGAAGGGAAACAAGTCTCCGTGTGATAATCATAGGGGGATCAGCTTAGCGAACATTGTCTCTAAAATCCTAGGCTCAGTAATCATGTACAGACTAAGCAGAACTCGGGAGGAACAGACGAGGGAAAATCAAGCAGGCTTTAGACCAGGTAGAGGGTGCATAAATCATATCTTTACTCTTCGACAGATTCTGGAACATAGACACACTTTTCGGCGTCCAACAATTCCCATATTTCTTGACTTGAAGGCGACCTTTGACTATGGCAATGTCTGACTGTGAAGT